CATACACATTTTGCAACTAACGAAACAAAGTTGTCGTAGGTCTTAAACTCCCCAGATTTGTATATGTCAGAGATGTTCTTATATACCATATCGCAATCTTTGTCCATGACTTTGTGGTTGCAATGAAATCCAAGAAACTCATAGTTAACCTTTCGTATGAACTTCTTTATTTCTACTGAGTCAGTTGCTTTGACTTCTATTTCATCGAATTCTGGAATAGTGAGTTTTTGTTGTTGGATTTCAGGAATTTGGTAAATGGTCAATAATATCCTGCATTTCATAAAGATACTGTTCATTTGTTTCATCTTTCGCACTACAGTCTAAATTACTTGTTAAAAGTTCTTGCTTTATCTTCTGGATTTCTTCGAAAGTATATGAAGAAGGAATGAAGCTTTTCATCTCTACTAACATTGAAGTTGGGTTCATGACTAACGAGTTTGGTGCTGTTGTTGCTAACATGTTCTTACAATAAAAATAAAAAATATTTTTTTAAAAAAACCAACTTTATTTTTTATTTCGGGAAAACTCATGACAAATTCAAGAGGTAGAAAAGAGGTTAGAAAAACAGGTTAGATATACCCATCTACCCTAAAATATATTTTTGGTCCTTTACACTCATTACGAAGAAGTCATGACAAAACATTTACGAAGAATCATGAAAATTCATGAGGGTAGAAAAGAGGTTAGAAAACAGGTTAGATATACCCATCTACCCTAAAATATATTTTTGTGTAAAATTCAAATTGTAAAAAGTCAAGCTTGAAAAATCTAAGTGTTTAGTCTTAGTAAGATGGTAGCTTCTTAAAGCATATGCCGTCCTTGAGTTTTATGTACGTGAAGAGAAGTACAATGAATTCAATTACGAGTACAATTGCAATGACAACTAAGGCAACTATTTTTGTCTTTTGCCAGCAAGGTACTTCTTCTCTTCCAATGGTTCGGCAGAACTATACTCACTCATGAGAAATGCCAAAACGGTTTAATAGAAAAAGTGTCATTTTTTCATGTCCGAAGACTCGAAGGTGCAACACTTCCAAAATACCGACGAACTCAGAAGAGCAGCATGGCAGTATTTCTTGACAACTTCTTTGAGTTCTCCAGGTACACCTTGGAAAATGCTGAAGAACTCCGACACAGAGAATTTGGAGAAATTGCACTCCAATACTACCTTGACAAACAAAGGGTAAACAAAGGGTAAAATAAGACTAAAAACTTAACGTTTAAAAAGTGACATTTTTATGAGCTCCGAGTCACCGAGAAAACTTGGTCAGATGTTAGCAGCTTACTTCCCTGAGGAGGATGGAAGCGTTACATACGTAAGGTTCAAAAACAACGAACCTGGAATTGCGTACCAAATTCGCAATTACATGACCATGGAAGAGTACGAAAGGTTTCTACAAGAGAAACCAGCTCTAAACAACTCAGAAAAGAAAGAGTAAAAAGTTTAACTCGTAATTGTTTATTTTTTTACTTGTATGGGCAAGCTGCAAGAATGAAGTCGACTATCTCAGTCTTTGTCTTGACCAGTTGGACTGCTCTTGCGAGTACGTCTGTTTTGCGGTCTCCAGCTGGTGTCTGACCTTCGTAATTGCGCATGTTCTTGAGAGCTCCAACTGTAAATGGCTGTAAGATGAAGAGTCTCTCAGACTGCTTGAGGTAGTCTTCACGGTCACGAACCGAATCTGTGGTACGAGTCGAATTGGTCGACCTTAGGGAAGAGACTGAAAGCCTGTCATCTTCCATAGGGGCTGTGGCATACTCTTTGCGTAAACGGTTCAGACCTTCTTCGAACTCTTGGTCTCTCTTCGATTGGGATTGAGATTGGAATTGGGGTGGAGGGTTTGACATGAACATCCAAGGGTTAGGGAAGTAAGGCATGGGTTGAGGAGGGTAGTTTGGAAAGCCTTGTGGTGGGTAGTTTGGAAAGCCTTGTGGTGGGTAGTAACCTTGAGGTGGAAATTGGTAGTAATTCGGAGGTCCTTGTTGGAACTGAGGTTGCTGAGGAGACTGTTGTGGTGCTGGAGCATGCTGTTCCTCTGGCTGTGGAACGGGTTCAGTAGGTGGGACGTCGGACATTCGTTTGTGTCTTAACCGTCTTTGTTCTGAAACAATATAATATTGTCTTGAAAAAGTACAACATTGTCTTGAAAAAGTACAACATTGTCTTGAAAAAGTACAACATTGTCTTGAAAAAGTACAACATTGTCTTGAAAAAGTACAACATTGTTCTGAAAAAGTTCAAGACTTGTTCTGAAAAAGTACAGCTGTACTCAAATTTGAGAGACATTGTACTGAATTTATACAACATTGTTCTGAAAAAGTACAACATTGTTCTGAAAAAGTACAATATTGTCTTGAAAAAGTACAACATTGTCTTGAAAAAGTACAACATTGTCTTGAAAAAGTACAATATTGTACTGACTCAGTATGGAGCTTGACCCCTTAGACGAAGCAATTTATCTAATTGAGGTAAATGAAACCGTGAAGGAATATCTCAGCAAGTGCAAACCAAGCAAGTCCATTGGCTTCTGGTTGTCCAAGAATAGTGTCTTAAAGTTGGAAATTGAAACAGGTGTTGCAATTCAAGTTCCAGAAGGCACTGCATTCGATGATATTAAGGATGTGAAGAAAGAAGCCCTCTTGAAGTTCTTCATGAAACGTCCTTGGATACTACTTCCATATCGTGAGAGCCCAATTCCACGAATTACACAAATTCTCAGAGCACTACTTCACTACTCTGGACAGCCGTTCTTCATAACCTCAGAAGGCGACATCCAACCAATTCTTCAGCCAGTTCAGTAAACATCTCATTTTAACTTCACTTTTTTTTATGTTTTTACTCACACTCGTACTCAACAGGTTTGTGTACAACTATTTCAACTGTGAACCTTGTATTGACCGGTCTTCCTGCAAATGCAAGTTCGGTCAATACACAATTTATGGTGGCAAGAAAGACAGTGGGGAATGTTATTCTGACATCTGTTGTTGCGCTCGAGAGAGAATTGAAATTCCAGACCCAACTCCAACACCAACACTCAAGTTGCCAAAGACTCATGTGAAGAAGAAGCCTTCTGGTAAGTTTCTTATAGCCATATACATGGCACGCTTTGAGTAAAAACATTTTTTTCATTTTTTGAATGAAGCAAGTTAAATTCGTCCCACACCAATCTCAATGGACCGATGAAGAGTTTCAAGCATGGTTGAAGGTGTTGAGAACGACATAGACGGCGAACTTGAAGGAGCTCAAACCACAATTGCAACCAAAATTGCACAAGTCAAGGAACAGATAGCTCCACTTAAAGCTACCAAAGCTACTCTTGACCTCATGGATAGTTACCGTTTAGAAGTAAAGAGTGGAATAAGACAATTAAAATTAAAACTTCTAAACTACGAAGCTATACTCCAAAAGTTAGCAGAAATGAGAAGACTTTACCAGAGCTACTTACATGTAAGGGACTTACCTTCAAGCAGTCCGACCAAAGATGAATTTTCTGACATTGTCCCAATTTTGTCCGAAAGTCAGCTCAGATGTTTTGAACTGCTCCCAACATATCCAGAATATGAACGTTTGCCTGAACTCTTCCGCAATCTCAAAAAACGTTTTTTGGTTCTCATGTTCGAAACTTTTATCGGAAGAGACAACAAACGTTCAGAAGAAGAACAAGATATTATTTTAAACTTGTTGTATGACTTAACCGTCATAACAAGCTTTTTGAAGTAAAACCGTCATTCTCAAACCACTTCATTTTTTCGATGTCCGAACAAGCACCGAAGCCGAACACAATGGCAGATGTCCTTTCAATGTTGCCAGACAAGCGCCCAGTTCAAATTCAAATTTTGAATTTGAAAGCTCATCTGACAAACACCGTTAAGACTCTCCAAAGTAGTCTTATGGAAGAGATGAAGCTAAAGCCGATTCCTCATGAACCAAGCTTCCAATGAGAAATCCTGAATGATTTGACGGAAACCTTGCGCATTTACGCGAGAGAGAACCGAGACCTTGCCAGACTCATCTACCGTTTCTTCGAAGAGATAGACGCCATCTGGAAGGTACTCGGAAAGGACAGAACTCCAACACCGTACTTCGTGAACACAGAATTGAAGAAGGAATTGTCGAGGAAGAAGAGAAACACGAAGAAGAGGAAGAGGAAGAAGAGGAAGAAGAGAAACACGAAGAAGAGGAAGTTTGGGCAACCCTTGTTGCCGATGACACTTACGAAATTTCCCAACCCTACCCATACCAAATCCGCAACAAGGAGACGGCAAGGTTCTTACCCCAGTCCTCAACAACTTGGGACACTTGAACCTTACCCTTCGGAATTACGGTTCAATTTCCATGGGCAAGCTTGTCGCAATTCAATGGGTTCCAAATCCAACAAGAAGACGAGGTCAGACACATTGACGGTGACAAGCTCAACAACCGTAAGGAGAACCTCGAGTGGTTCTAAGAGTAAAAAAATTTTATTTTAGGGGGAAACCCCGAGTAAATTTAGGTGTTTAGTTGCGTAAGCTTAAATTAAGGTAATTTGGACAAGTAGTTCCTGACCTCTGAATTGGACTCTTTCGTCATCCCAGTTGCGTAGGAGGTCGTCCCAGAGGAGTTGGTAGAATTGCCAATCCAAGGACGATTTGTCCTCCCAGGCATTGAGGATGTACTGCTCGTAGAGTCTCATGACCTCTGCCTTGCACCAGACACCCTCTCCCTTGGAACGTAAGGCTTCTTCGAAGTGCTCGAATGCGATTGGCTGCGGACCATCTGAAATGACACTTTTTGTCCGTTTGGTCAATGTTCGTGTCTCGTGCCATAGTCGACGAAAATACAAACAAACAGGTTATATATGAGTTTGAGACCAAGAATGGTGTAACTCGACCTGTCCGATTCAAATTCGAATAAAAATTTTTTATTTCATGCAATGTTTTATTTTCTTCTTTAATGCCCCAGTACTTACGCTTGGAGAGGACATGAACTTCGGTGAAAATTTTGTCCAATTTGAATTGACCCATCTTTTCACCGACCATTCCCATTTCAATGAGTTTGTTATAGCCTTCTTCGTTCGTCATGAGTGCGTCAATGTTCTCATAGTAAACCTTCACTTTGGATTTGACTTCGGAGAAGAATTTGTTGTAGTTGTCAAGGACTGCCTTTGCGAACTGAGGGTAAGACCAATGTTCGACAATAGGTTTTAATGTGGTTACTAAGCCACTTTGACCTTGAGTGAATTCGTACTTCAAAACAAAAGGAGAAAACCTTTCAACAAAGTTGTCGACCTTCTCATAATGTTTACTCTTCATCTCTTGAGGTTTCTTAATGGAATATCCCCATGTCGAATTCATAAGCAATTTGAGTGTCATTGCAAGTTTGGGGTTTGAAGCTTTCCTAATATCATACAGTTGTTGTATGACTTTTCCAACTGTATAGTTCCTTCCTGGGAACTCACCATCTTCGTTTGGAATTCCAGTCGGGATATATTGGACGAACCTCATGTACGCAGCGTTAAGGTCGACATAGTATATCTTTTCATCTGAGTCGAACTTGTCGCAACCAATGGGTCCAGTTCGTGGAAATTCAAGTGAGTCTCTTATCTTCTGAGAAACTTCTCCTGTTATCTCATAAACATCGTCGAAGCAACCTGTTTCATATAAAACCTTCTGACCTAACTCAGATGCTCTCCAATACAATTTGACGTCAATTGGATGTCTCAATGGAAGTTTGTTTATAGCATCTTGAAGTTCTTGCAACCTCATTGGAAGTTCTTCTGGTTCAGGTTGGTATCCGAACAATCCAACTCCTTTTGGAAGTGTACTTCTTTTGTGCTAGAACTTTGTCTGGAACAACTTTTGGTCTTGCTAACAATGAAAAGTTTGTTTCGTCTTTTGGTACAAAAGTTTCTGTCAGCTTGTCATCTGGAATTGGTTCCAACAAACCTTTCTCGAAAAGAATGTTTACAGCTCTGACAATGTTGCACTTGCCTTTTCCGAACAATGGGTTTGTAAGACTTTCGTTCAACATGAAGTGGTTGTGGACAATTACAATCTTCAACCATGGTAAGTCTTTGTCAACAACATAGTCGTCATGTGAAGAACCTTTAGCTGTAGGTATGTTGACTCGGATATTGACATTTGCCAACGGTGCAATTTTTGCCAATTGACCTCTGAGAATGTACCTTGTCTTCACACATGACTCAAGATACTTCATCTTCTCATCTGTAACAAGACCAGAGTTCCTGAGACATGTAAGAATACAAGGTTCATTGACAATTGTTTCAATTGAATTGTAAATTCCATACCTTGTCAAGTCAATGTCAGACTTATTTATGAACGGGAAGTATCCAGCATGTTGTCTGACTGCTTGAGGGTTAGGTTGGTACCATTCAAACTTACACTTGCAATTCCTTCAATTGCATTCAAAATGTCTGAGTCGGAGTCAACCATTTGTTCTCTCTTTGTAGTCTTGAAAGCGTCAAGAAGTTGTGCGGCTGTTGTGACATTGCCATGTGCATAGTAAATGTGACCGTCCAAATCTGTTATGGTATCTGAGATTGTATCCTTTCTTATTTCCGTCTTGTATGCAGCAAGTACCCATGAAGCCTTCTTTGTTCTTTCCTTCGTCAAAGTTTACTGTAAAGGTTCGACCAGATGTAATTTGACTTCTAACTTCACGATACTTTTCATATGCATATCTTGTTCTTTCCATGGGAGCATGTTTGTCTTCACCTTTTCCTTTTTTCCTTCTCAAAGGATGCAATTGTTCGTCATGTTTCCAGTAGAATCTGGCAAAGCCGTCGTGTCCTTCAACTTGAGGCTCACTAACATCGAAAGGCATGTCCATAAGACGTTCTTCTTCTAACCTCTCTAGTCTGTTTGGATAATTTGCGCGTGCTGTTTCCAAGTCCATTTCATAGCGAAGACCAGACAATTTGTCATAGACTTTTATGGGTCTTCCCTTCCTATATTTAAACTTCTTTGAAACTTTCCAACCATATCTTTCTAACTCTGCTTTTATTCTAGCAGATTTTCTATCCATTCTATATGGGGGCATTTTTATAAAAATAAAAAAATATTTTTTTCTTTACTTTACATAACCGCCTGCTGCCATAAGTCTTTGACGCCAACCCATACCAGCTAATGAAGGTTGACTTGGTTTAGTTTGGAAACTAACTTTGGTTTTGGTTTATCTTCAGTTTTTGGTTCTTCTTCTATCGGTTTTTCGTCACTTTTCGGTTCCTCTGACTTTACCTCACTTGCAGGTAGTTGTGTCGTCAACATCTTCATAAATATCATATGCCATTTGTTTTTGTTTTCCTTTCAACTTTTTGTGTTTGTTGTAAAGTTTAGAATATTTCGACTCTAAGTCAATGAGATGTTCTATAATGAACTGTTGGTCAGTGAAGTAAACTTTTCCATCTGTTGTCTCGAAAGCTCCTTCAGACTTCAATATTTTATTTGTGAGAGTCTGTTTCTTTTTTGAGATACTAGCCGTTCCATTTCTATGAAAAGTGACTTTATAGTTAGGGTTTGTATTTCCAGACCTGGCACTTTCTATTATTGAATTTTTCTCTTCATCTGTAAGTTCTTTGACAGGTTTTGACAATGGTTCTGAACTTTTTGTTTGTGGTGTCAAATCTACCGTTTCAACTTCTTCCGTCATTTCATCTCAGTAAAAAATTTTAGTTTGGTTTGTTTTCAACTGGTTGTTTAGGTTTTTAAGTCGGTCTAAAACTTCCTGAGGTATAGGGAGGACTTGACAAACACGTGGTTGTGTAACTGCTGGAAGCCGACAAATCCATCTTGAGCCCATTTGTCTCAATGCTGTATTGTTCATTTCATCTCAGTAAAAAATTTTACATTCCCCAAGTTTGAGGCGGTTGAGGTTGGTTGTTGTTTACCCATTGTTGTGCATGGTTATATCCTCTGTTAAAGAATCTTTCACCTTGGTCCATATAGTGCCCTGCTTGGTTATAGTAGTCATTTGCTTTGTTATAGTAGTTTCCTGCTTCTCTTCCTACATTGTCCATCCATCCTTGAACTTTTCCTCTTGTTTCAGGATTTGGAATAAGATTTGCTGCATCTCGTGCTACCTCCCAACCTTTCTGTACAGTTTGTATAATAGGTTGTGCTTTCTCTTTCAGTATACCTAATGTACTCAAAATCTTCCTTCCAATTCCAAATGCACCTCTAGCTATTGTTCCCACTGCGGGTAAAAATCTGGATGCAACTCCTGCTAATGCGCCAAATAAACCCATTTCTTATAGGGTAAAAAATGACGAATCCAAACAAGGACCCCTATGTTTCTAAAGCGACAAAGAAAGCACTCATGATAAAAATCTTTAGTTCAACACCAAATGCTTGGTTTATGGATATCTTGGAAAACATTCCGAGGTATAGAGAAGACGGACCACCATACTGGCTAATATTTGTTGGTCAAAACACAAGATACTGTGAAGCCATACCATTATGGTCCAAAAACATTTTAGATGTGAAAACTGCTTTGACAATATTCGTTGACAAATACCATCCAACAAAACTGACATCTGACTGTGAAAGTTTCTTTCAAATCAGACGATATTAAAAACTATCTGCGTTCAAAAAATGTAAACCAATATTTCATTGTCGACCAAAACCATTCTGCTCTTGGTGTCATTGACAGTTGTATAAAAATCTTAAGAGACTTAAATCAACCACAAGGTGGTGAGGTAGATGAAATGTCATATGACGACAAATACAGACACTTCTCCATGGCAAAGATGAGACAAGTTTTAAATATTTACAATAGCCGTAAACAAAAAGGTTTGGGAAACCACTCCCCGAAGAAATGAAAAACAACCCTGACTTAGAGAAAGACTATATATTTAATAGTTTAGTCAAAAGAGACAAACAAGAAAGAATGCCAGGCTTCAAACTTAAGAAAGGTGACAAAGTAAAAATAGAAATACCTAAACGCGACCCATATGAAAATACTATTGACTATGACAACAATGGGAACTCGACAGGTACTCACGTTCGTGTTCGTAAAAATAGAAGAAAGTATACAAGAGAATATTATGAAGTTTTAGGCAAACATGGCAAAATGTACAGACTGCAAGCAGAAGATAAAACTACTATTGTCAGACCTCGTTTCAAACTTGTCAAAGTTCAAGGTGGTATACTTTCAAAGACAGTTCCTAACAAATATAAGACAACTCCTGACGAATATGCTAAAGAAGTTGAAAATGACGACTAAGCAATTCTATACCATGCGTAAACTGTCATGTAAGGTGGCATGTAGTCTTTACTTTGTCCCGTTGTTTGCGTATATCCTGAAACGCGATGTGTATGGTTTCCATCTCCCTGAGTGTCACTCCAGTAACAATTTATAGCAAACTTAACGTTGTCTTTAACATCATATCCTTTACCTTTTGTCATTCCTGACCAATCCCAATATCTATGCTTATGCCAACCTGCTTGAGATGTACTTAAATCTATGTAGTGACTGTGTGCAGGTAGGTTTTCACCTGAAATCGTTTTACTTCCACCTGTTTCCTTTGAAGAGTTTGCACAATACAAAAACCTGTCGACTATTTGAGTCCAAGTTCCAAAACCAAGTACTACTTCTGGTCTGGTAGAGTTCATTGACGTATAAATAGAACCTATAGGATATACTGTTTGAAGTATTTCTGTCTTTAATGTTTGAAGCTCTGTTTTGTCTGCTTTTTTATATAACTTTTCTTCAAGTTCATTTACGTCAGAGATGCTATGTCTATGATATTTTTGTGGGTATGTTCCTTCTGTCCATGCGAAAATACGTTCTTTTGTTGCATCTACATATCCTTTTATCCATGTCGAGTCTGCTTTTGTATTCCTTAACTCTGTAACACCTTTCTCAAGCTCTTTCAACTGTTGTCCATCTTCCATTAAACCTCTGGTATGACTTGAAACCGTTTGTGCCAACATATCTACAGTTTCTTTGTCGGCTTTAAGGTCTAAACATCCTGAAACCCACCCTGTATTGGCTTTACCTTCTAAAATCTTCGATGTCCGTTCATGGTACCATTCAACCATTTTTTTAATTTCTTCATCTTTTTCATCCACATATTCCTTATCTGCCTTCTTCACTAACACACTAGCCATAAGTCCCTTATCTACTTTCTCCTCTAACTCACTGTTGACATATGTTTTGTCAGCTTTCTTTTCAAGGCTAACGTTTAAGTCTGTTATTTCAGATATAGAATGTGTATGTCCAACGTCACTTTTCCTGTTTAAGGTTTCTTGTAAGTTTGTAATATTTGCAATGGTATGTGTATGAGTCTTTTTAGAATATTCTTTGTCAGCTCTTGTCACTTCACTTGACATTTTATTGTCAACATATGTTTTGTCTGCTAGTTCAGGATGAGTATGTTCTTTCGTTGCATATGTTGCATCTGCTCTGTCATGTTCTTCTTGAACTTTTTCAATGACATACTCTTTGTCAGCTTTGTTGTCAATATCTGCCTTCAAAAGAAGTTCATCTATAGGTTTCTCGTTTAAAGTTCTTTTTGTTGGATTTATACAAAAGTATGGTTCTTACTGTCTTGAAACAGAAACTCATCTGTCATTGGGTTTATCGTCAGTTTTTAAGTTTCCTTCTTTCAATGACTCAGATATCTTAGAATAGTTTGAAAAGTTTGTTGTGTTCTTATTTAGAGCTTGCAAAATGAGTTGTCGTTGTGTTGTATTTCTCTCTAGACGCTGTTTCTTTCGACATTTTTATTCTAGATAAAATATGCTTTCAATAGAAAAAAAAATTCAAGAGTTGCTACAACTAACCATTAGATGAACTTTTTACTAACGTAGGTCAAAAGTTTGAGACAGAGACCGTAAAGCATGAAGGCTATCGTTTTGACTACCCATTGAGATGGCTAAGAGACCCATCCGTCACAAAAGCTATTGGCTTTCGTAGAATGAAGTTTGTGTCTGTAGAAGATAAAAGTTTTCCATTTATTGTAAGGTTTCATATAGATTATATATCTGAAGGGAAACGAAAAATGTGGGAAGAAATTGAGCTAATACAAGTTGACCTTTCATCTTCTCTACAGACTGCGTTAAAAAATATAGAAGATAAAATAAATTATGTTATGCAAAATATGCTGATGAATATGCAAATACCGAGAGCACACTTTATGTGAGAATTGTATATGACAAACAAAATTCACAAGTGTCATTTCAAATCTACGAAGACAATCCAAAGAAAGACGAACAAATATATACAGAATTCACTGCAATGTCATGGTATTATTTGCAAAGAATGTTAAATCAGAAAGTCGAACTTCCTTAGCAAATATTTACAGTCGATATGCAAGAGATGAACCATATTTATTTAAAGATGTTTTCGACCCAGCTGCTATTATAGTTCATGCTTCATTTTCTGGCGCACAAAACTCTTCTTATGCTTGGCAAATGACTTTTACGAAAAACCTACAAAGTTATATGAACCACCGAGTGGAAGTATTTCAGACTTTCAAGTATGGTTTACTACAGATGGAAGAAAAAGAATAATTCCATTATACCATGCGTTTTACTTAGAACTTAGTTTCATATACAACTACTATCGAACGGTAAAAATATAATTTTTTAATACGGTTGAGGTGTTGGATTTGGTTGCCAACTAGACTGTGGTGCAGGTTCAGGCTGTTGTATAACAGGAGCTTGTTCTTCTGGTTCAGGGTCTTTAGGTATAATACCAACGAACTGACCTACTCTTTTACCAATATTTTTGACACCGTTCCAAATTCCTCTTCCGACGGTTTTTATTCCATTCCATATACCTCTTCCAACATTTCGAAAGAAGTTTCCTATTCTTCCAAAGAAACCCATTTTACTATATGTAAAAATCTAATGTCCGCCTAGTCTCTTACGTTTCCTTCTGAGTTCCATAGCATTCTTTAACTGGAGCTCATACATTCTATTTCTCCTCTGGTAGAAAACATACTCTGGGTCAACTCCTGTGTTCGCGTCATCTGCATAGAGTTGTTTATATCCCACTTCAGGGTTTGTATAAAACTCTTTCCATCTCATATTTGCATACCATGGTGGCAAACCTAACGCAGCGTCATTTGACATGGCAGTTTGCATTTGTACATCTGTTGGCACTTGACCATAGTTTGCCATTGCAGTTTGTATTCTAACTTCATTTGGAATATTCTCTGGGTTTGGTTGTCCAGGTTGCTGTGCATTCGCTAAGTTCTGTGCGTCCATTTAATATTAGATAAAAATATCTCTTACGAGTACATATGCTGAACATTTGCAGGCATTGGTTCATCTTCATATTCTCTATATCTTTCTGCCACGTCAAATAAGTAAATGACACAATGGAAAAAACCTAAAACAAGTAGTCCTATTTCAAACCACATTTACTTACCAATAAAATTTCTTTATTGTGACACTTTCTCCAGTTTATAGGACCTCTCTCATATTCTATCTTATCGTATCTAAACTCATAGTCATGTATGTCCTCTAACCATCTCATGACACTTTCCAAACCACTTTTATCGGATGTAAAGTAAAAGCATGGATGGTTATGTAAAACGTCTAAAGTTTCTAAAGAGTCTCTCAAAGTCCAGTCTACTTGGTATTGAAAATCCCATGTGTTATAGAACGGCGGGTCCACTATAAAGAAAACATTTTCCTTGTCTTTATATTTTTCATACAACTCTGTCCAATGACATCTCACAAACTCTATACCCTCAATATATTTTTCTATGTCCTCTTTGAAAACATTTGTATAGTTGAGATATAAAACTTTTGACATAAGTGTTTCAATGTCATGAACTCTTATAGCACCACTATATAATAGTCTAGCAGATATACTATCCCAGTCTATATATTCTGCTTTTTTCAAAACCTCTCTCACAATATTTTTCTTATCTAATGGTATACGTTCCATCTTACCTATAGGTATCTTTTCTTTTAACTCTTTCAATATTTTGTTAGTGTCTGGAATATGTTTGAGACGGTTCATATAGTTGTCGAAGTCATTGCATATAATCTTTGAGTCAGGAAATACAGTATGGCACAAATGGGATATATAGAAACTTCCACCGAACAAATCTACAAATGTTAGACCATTCGGTAGTTTCTTAAGTTCTCTCAATATAATATCTTTACATTTACTCTTATTTCCAAAGAACGGTAACGGAGGTTTTGTAAAATTCATTTATATATAATAATAAAAATGTTTTTTCCTGAAAAGTGACAGAAAAGTGACAAAACATGTACGAAGAAGTCTTGAAAATTCAAGAGGGTAGAAAAGAGGTTAGAAAAGAGGTTATATCTAACCTTCTACCCTAAACATTATTTTTGTCTGATTTTACGAAGAAGTCTTGACAAAACATGAAAACATATATAATTTGTGAAAAGCTCCTGGAAGACCCGTATATAAGAACTTCATTTATACTAAACATCTTCAGGGCTAGAAGGGGCGCAGCCCCTGGAAGCCCCACTGTCTTTTTTTTTTTTTTTTTTTTTTTTTTTTTTTTTGCTTTACAGTTATCATGTAATACATATATATAAGAGTTTCATGTTTTAATTTCTTAAATTTTGAATGGGGTTATTAAAATACGCGAACATGTGGGAAACTGATAAATTGTATATTGTTGTCTTATTTATGCATATTTTAAATAATGGTTTCACTATGATTTAGAATTTAATAAGAGTTTTTCATTAATTTTTAATCTAATAATTATGCAGAATAATGCCTTTAGCAGATATTTGAGTTGATACAATATAGACAATTATGACGCAAATTTGCATAATTTGCCTTAATATTCATTATGTTTTTATTGTGTCTAATTAGCTTGACCAAATCGATTGATTACACTGGCATTCAAGGGGAGATGATGAGTATAAAGTGTGAAGATAATTATATCTTCGAAGAATGCATATTTAGATATCATGGTAACTATGATTCCAGTTCAGCACTTTTTATACATGATGGCACAAATAGCCAGAGAGTTTCTTTGTATCGCACAACATTTTCCAACTGCCAGGCTAATCAGGGTGGTGCATTTAGCTTCACTGGAAAATATCAGCTTTATTTGAGGTCAGTTTGCATTTACAATGCAAGCACTGATGATAAAGCTGGACTATTTTACGTTCAAATGGAATATCAACCTCAATTTAGTTACATATCATGTTCCGACTCAACATCTTTATGTCAAACAGAATTATTCCTTAATGAAGGTCCAAATATTGAGCACATGAATGTGTCAGCATGTAGTGCGACATATTCAAGGACTACAACATACTGGAGTTATGGAGTTTTGTATGTCCAGTGTGACTCAATTGTTAACCTTAGATATTCAAATTTTGAAAGCTGTTACAGTCCAGATGGTATTGTTTATAACTACCGAACATCTAAAAACTTTTTGGTTCAGTACTGTACTTTCAGAAAGAACAAAGTAGATGACTATTCCATGATTTACTGTGAAGATTGCAGTGGTGAAATGACCATCATGAACTCATATTTCATCAACAATAATTTGAATTCAAAAGGCTATTTTGCAGGTGATAATTCTATCATTAATTTGGCTTCAAGCGTTTATGTTGACTCAACAGCCAAATCTTGGTCAGTGACAACCAAAGGAATGATTTATGTTGAATCGATTGATTTGCCTAACTACCAATATTTCCAAAGTGATGAATGTCATGCAATTAATCCACTTCCTGAAATGACACGCACTTTCGAACCAACTCTTATTGAAACTGCAATGCAAACACCTCATGTAACTCCAGTTTCAACAGTTATGATGACACCATTTAATACAGCTGATATAACTCCAATTCAAACACCTTTCTTCATAGAGAAAAATACTGCATTTGAAACGCCTTACACAACGCCTTATCTTTCTCCTGAACTAACAGCAATAGAAACCCCAATCAAGACACCAAATGTAACTCCATTTGATACAGAATTGGAAACACCATCATTTACTCCATCTAATACAGAAGCCCAAACTCCAATAATTACGGCTTTTGAAACGCCATTTATTACAGAAAAAGAAACGAATGCTTTCACTCCTGTTGATACCGTAGTAAATACACCAGAAGTTACCATGAATGAAACTCCTTTCATGTCACCTTATTCAACAGCCCATGAAACTGCAGTAAATACGCCAGAAATTACAGTTTTCCAAACGCCATTCATTTTCCCTGAAATAACTGCATACAGAACTGTAATAAATACGCCAGATGTTACAATGATTAAAACTCCATTTGTATCACCTTTTATTACTGCATACGAAACTGCAGAAAATACACCTGAATTCACAGCAGTGGAAACACCATTTGAAACTCACCAGAATACACCATTTGAAACAGCTAAAGAAACACCATTTGTTACACCAGCCATAACTGTAATTGAAACTCCTTTTGAAACTGCTGAAAGTACACCAAATGAAACGCCTTATATCTCCCCTGATGTTACTGTTTTTGCAACACCTGAAGTGACAGCAAAAGAAACATCAACTATTGATTCTTCTTTATCAGATATTACAACTGAACCATCTAAAGAAACTTTCAGTTCATTGTCATCTGAATCTTCATCACCAGGAATAACTGGAAACACAAACGCTGAAGGAGGAAAGGCTGCAAAATCTACCAAAGGAAAGTCCAATATTTTGATAATTATCATTGTTTCAATTGTTATTGCATTGATAATTATATCTTTGATTGTTGTTTATGTTATTTATAGAAAGAGAAAGGAAAACAGTGAATCTGAAGATCCATCATCTCAAGAAATGAACGAAACAGTCATTAGTAACCAAATTTCAGCAAATGAAACCTTTGTTTCATATGATAACCCATTGTTCACCACTGAAATTGAAGACGAAAGTGATCCATTCAGAAGAGATTTTGAAGAAAATGATGTCTCTTATTTTAATTTCAATAATTAATTGTGTTTTAAACAAAATGTTATATAAATATCTTCTATTTTTTTCAATGATCAACTTGATTTTAAGGGAAAAGTCAGAGTAGACTTTATCATTTTTTTAATTATTTGAAAGATGGATTTAGGACGATAAATTTATTCTATATGCATGTTACCATTGTGCTTCACATAGTTTTTTTGAAGAAAACAAATATGGATATTAAAAATTGAAAATTGATTATAATTACCTGATATTTTTACTCAAGAGGTCGTGGAAACTAATTTCATTGTAGCTTTAAACAGTAAATACATGAGTAAAAATAGCGTATCTTAATAATTTTGTAGTGTAATTTTTCTTAGAAATTTTGGCAGAAAATAAAATGTGTTTGAACCAGCACATTTCAAAATATCATATTTGAGATTTCTGAAATGGTAAACAAAATACGGTACGATAAAAAATTTTCTTTCAAATTTAATTTTTTACATGAATTTTGATTTTAATCCGATACTAAAGCAAATCATCCATAATTCGAGTTTCCAAAGAATCACTATCATTATCAATGATCATCGCTATTATTCAAACATAGTATTTGGTTCAGCTTTCAGCAATTCTATCAACAATCAAGTAAAAAAAGATAGTACTCGTTATTCATTTGAATTTTACTGTTGTATACAAAACGAAAGTACATATGACATTCTCGAACTAATCTTTGATGGAAATTTTGAAGGTCAAAATCTCAACAATGTTATCAATGATCTTTTCAATGTTGGTGTCGCTATGGAAAGTAATACATTACTCACATGGTATAGATCATTTTACCCACTTTCTATTCAAAATTACAAAGAAAACGCTATTTATTACAAAGAAGTAGGAAACATTGATGAATTTATTGACTTTACAGTTCGGAATTTCCAGGATCTTGGATTACAAAAGGTGATTGATGCTTGTTTAAAAATAGGAATTGATTTCGCCGAGTTATTAGCAAATAAGCTTGGAGATATGAAGAAAGAGTTCATAATAAGTTTAATTGAGCAAGATTTGCAGTTTTCTGTGTTAATTAATCAAATTGATACAGAAAAATTGACTTATGAAGATGATATCAGGCTTGTTTGCCTTCATAATAATTCTATAGCTCATGATTATCATCCGAACAATGAATTTGTTCATTTCTTTTTAAATAAATTTAATGAAAAAATATTAAGTGATTTAAGAAGCAAAGATGATGAAAACAAAGAACTTACGAATCATATTATTGATACTAAAGATAAATTACAACAATCTCAATTAGAAAATCAAAAAATTAAAATTGAATTTGAAAATCTGAAAAATGAGAATCAAAAACTAAAACAAGAATTAGAAAATGCCAAGAAACAATTAGAAAATCCACCTCCTCGTGTATTTTCGCAATCTGAATTAGAATTAATTTCAATTCACAAAGCAGCCTCAAAAAACAACATTGAAATTGTTAAATTACTTATAAACAATGGTGTTAATGTTAATGAGATGAATGAAAATGGTGAAACACCGCTTCATTCAGCGATATCTGCAAATTGTTTTGAAGTTGCAGAGTTTCTTATTAAAAATGGTGCTGATGTAAATAAAGTTAATAATTCAGGAAATTCTCCACTTCAAATTGCAAAAGGAAATGCTAAAATGGTTGATTTACTCATTCGAAATGGTGCAAAAGAAGAAAAAGTTGTTACGAATTATGAAGAATGTAATTCATTAGTTTACCAATCAACTTTTGATTTCAATGACTACAAAGAAGAACCAGCACAACCAGAACAACAACAACCTCGAAAAGTTGGCTGGCTTGAGAGAATTTTTGGTGTTCCAAGACCGCAAAATCATAATAACATTAAAGAGAAAGAGAAACCTACTGAAACTGCAAATTTTTTTGATGCTGAAAGGGAAAGAAATGATTTTAAAGAAAAACATAATGAAACAACGAATTTTTTTGATGCTGAAAGGGAAAGAAATGATTTTAAAGAGAAATCCGATGAAACAACAATTTTTTTTGAATATGTGTTCCATCCAAGTGAAAATGACAGTGAAAAAGAAATAAAAGATGAATCAAAAACTGAAGAAAAAGATATAAGTTATTATCATTCTTCTAATTATGATAATGAAGCAAAAGAAGATGTTTTTGATAATGAAGTGAAAGATGATGAAATTATGATTGATAATAGTGATGATAATGATAAAAATGAAGTTGAAAAATCAAAAGATTTTTATTTTTATACAGATGCAAAAGATGATGACGATGATCAAGATGCATCGAAATATTATATTGACGATGAAGAAGAGGATGATGACAAATACATCTGATGTTAAAAAAAAGATTATTAAGAATTTTTGACTTCATTTAATTTGTTTTTAAATTATGTATATATTACTTTTTAATGTTAATATTTGTCATATATTTTTCCACAAATTTACCTATTGTAAAATGTTTTCTCCCTAAAATTTTTCATGAGGATTTGTCAAAATAAAAAAAATTGATTAAATTGAATTAATTCTATGAGTTTCATTCAAATATTGTCAGAATTTCTCACCTAGGTTTTGTCCCAGACGATTATTTTTTTTTATTCAGCTTAAACAATAAAACAACCAAATATATAAATAATACTTCCACGTGTTTCCATGGAAATTTCGTTTTTATCCAAACTTTCTGAAGATATTGCATCAAATTCTGTTGAAATAGTAATGCAATCTTAATGTAAGCTCGCCAATTATGAGAAAATATCATGTGCGTTGGATGCACATGTATGTTTTTCGTTTTTCTGAGCTAATTTGGAAAATAAGATTCTATTAGATATTAAAACAAGCATTTAAAGCAACAACATATTTCCATAGGTGTTTACATTGCTTAACAAGTGATCTGGCAATATAAAACAACTGAATTTCTAGCTGGAATCCATACTTACCATATGCTCTCTCTCAAAAATTGAGAGTCACCTAGGTTTTGTCCCGCAGTTGTAAGCTAAATTTTGAGCGATGTCAAAAAAAAATTTTTTTGACTAAAATTCATTTCATTTTTTGGAATGGACTATCCTAAAACTTACAGATGTCCAATAGCCCAACAAATAGTACATAAGATAGTATATGAAAATCAAAATAAGGCTGAGTTTATTCAATATGTTCATGCCCAAATCCAAGAAATGAAAGATAAAAAAGGAACTCATAAATATTTTGCAGTACACACAGATCGATCATTTACACAAATTGGTTTTGACGATCTTTTTATTATAGAGATTGCTCAATGCTTTAGAGATTTTCCAAATCTTGCACAATTTCGAATTAGCGTTGAAGAAAAGCAATATGTCAATCTCGAAAGCGGATTTATTCTTATTAACCCTGACGATGAAGTTAAAGAAGCTCTCAGTTCAATTCTCACTTCTTACACAGTTCATCCGATTATGTATGATTTCCTTCGCGATTATACTGCATTAATTATGCATGGAATAAATGTCAATACAGGAATCAGGAATAAGAAGGACTCCTTCCAGATTTATGATCCTCAAGCTGCTTTTATAACAAAAGCTGCTCCATACATTTCGTCCGTAACTCTTGACGACGCAATTAAGCAAATCAAATTTGAATGCTACGAAACCATTGCGGCCATCGATACTATCGAAGTTCCAAATTATCCGAAATTAATTTATGAAAATCAAGGCAAGAGTAATACCGAGATTATCCAAGAGTACATCAAATACCTTCCATACTTTGTATCCCGTCCTGCTCTAGTTGCTCTTTCTGTTTTAAGGGCGATTTCAAAAGCAGGAACCCTCTATGACATACGCTCCAGAATCTTCGAGAAGAAAGAGTTTTACCTCAAAGCGAATGATATAGTGAAGAACGGAGGCCTCCTTTTCCAGGAAATAATGAAACAACATAAATTGTTAAGAAATGTTGAAGATCATCCTTACGAGTCCTTGCTTTTCATCAATGACCTTCTAAAGCAAAAGAGAGACATTCAAAAAGTTAAACCTGACTTCAGAAATTCAAACCATCTTAAAAACTATAAACAATCATGCCTTGCGGTCATTAATGCCACTCAAAATCATGTACCAGAGAAGACTGATGATCTTTCCGTTGCTTCAATGACAAATCCGTTTTCGGCCAAATTAACTGAATTACATATAAATGGCGAGTTACGTGATTTCCTGAATGTTGTTTATAGTGATTTGGTTTCATCTGGAAAGATTCATCCAGGAAAAGAGTTTGAAGACGTAATTAACCAACTCGAAAGTCCTCTTTTGATGGTTGCTATTGAATCAACATCTAAACTTTCGGATAAGAATGAACGTAATGCTCAGTATCAGAAAATTTATGATATCTTATTGAATTCATAAAAATATCAGTAAATTTAATAATTTAATTTAAAAATATCAGTAAAAATATTAAATTTATTTACTAAAAAAATTGAATTATTATTTTTACAATGAAGTCTTCAATCATTGATTTTTTTTGCCTGTCAAAGGGTCAAGGTTTACAACATGTCACTTTTTGGTTTACGTGGCAATTTAATAAAAAATTAAGTTTTTTATTTTTTATTTTTATTAATAATATAAAAATGAAACCAAAGGCTGTGAGGCACAAATATATTATCAGTGCCTCACAGCCTTTGGTTTCTTACCAAAAACGAGAAAACTTGCTCGCAATTGTTCCGCATTGCGAGCAAGTTTTCTCGTTTTTGGCAGGGACTTGTTCCTTATGAGGTATATAGTATGAATATATACCTCATAAGGAACAAACTTCATATATTAATATTTAATACTTTTAAAAATGATTTAAATTTAATAATTTACTTTTTAAAAAAATTGCTTAATTCATATGTTTGAATTCAAAGATCAATTCTTTGTCATTTACATACCATATTGGTTGCATTCCTTCATGCCATTTCTCTGTAGTTTCGTAAAACATTAGAGGTGTTGAGCGCACTTTCATGCCATCCAGTGTGATCTTAGGCAAAGAAGAATGCATTTTGTTGTTGTACCGATCAACAATTGACTGAATTTCACTCCAGTCCCTTGCCCTCTGTTCGATTCCTGGCAAAAATGCTTCAATTTTGCCGTTTTGATAAGGGCAGTGTGGTTCGATGCGCATTGCCCTTATCTCAAAGGCCAAAAGTGCTTGTGTGAAAATACCCCGGTTCTCGCCGCCATTGTCGCTCCAAATAGCGCATGGCTTTCCGAACCGGGCAATTGCTCTCTTCAAAACATTGGTTGTTTGATGCGCTTGCTTCGTGCTTAGATGTTGCCAATCAAGCACGAAACGTGATGCATCATCAATGATGGCGTAAAGAATCTCGTGTTGATCCCCGCCAAAGAAATGAATATCAACGTGCCAGCATGTGTTTACATACTTAAACACATACCTTGTTAATGGTTCTTTCTTTGGCGGGCGAGGAACTCCCTGTAAATTTAATTGAACCATCGCTTTCATGACAGTTAGTATACAAGTCTTGGGTACGGAGGCACTGCGCACCTCCTTACCCAATACTTGTGAATTTGACACTTTACAAAACCGTTAACGTATATTTTGCAACACAAACGACAACACTAACTTAACCTTAAATATTTACAAAACCACCACCCACTTCACTTCACTAACGAACTCACTAATGTAAAAAATAAACGTTCTCACTATCGTTCTCACTAACGACTTCACTAATGTTCTCATAAATTTTCCTCAATATCTTCATCATCAGTGTTAACCCTATTGTAGTCATACTTGAAGCCATAAACTTTCTCTAACTTCTTAACGTACAATTTACATAACTTACCTTCGTCATCATATGGTTTAATGATATAACTATTTCTATCTTTATACACAGTCAATGAAAAGTCAACTGGTCTCGGATGTATTTGAAAGAACATGTTATGCTCAGGAAGGAAGAATAAATGTTTAAATGTATGTTTGTTATACTGTGGAATTCGAATGAGTTGCTTTTGTTCTGTCATTTACATCCAAATAAAAATTTTCAGTAAAATAAAAAATAAACTTAAAAATTAATGATATCACCACCCTCACACGTATGAAAACATAGCACAAAAATAAATTTAGGTGAAGTGGTGAGATCTCACCTCTTTTTTCACCTGTTTTTTCACCCTCTTGAATTCATTGCTTTATAACTCTCTTCCTTTCTCCAACTCTTCTAACTTCTTCTTAAGTTCAGCAATGTTGTCCTCATGAAGTTTAATCTTTCTCAAAATTCCTTCTTTATCTAATGGTTGCTTTATCTTTCTAAACTGAACTCTACCATCCTTCATAGTATGAATGTAAAAACCTTCTGGAACCGCTCCTGATTTAATGTATTCTACCAAAAACTTTTGTTTCATTGCTTCAGTGACTTTATTTGTCATTTTACTCTAAGGTGAAGCTAGCACAGCGATAATGGATTTCATGACTTTTTAGTATTTCATGCAATCTTAACAGATAGCCTTACAAGTACTTCCAGTGTCCATAGCTGTCCCTCCTTTTTATATAACTCCATGACATTTATAATCTCGCGAAACTTAACAGGTAGCATAACAGATTAAAATCAGATGAGGTTTTGAACCAAAATTTCTAAGCAACGTTGTCAAGGATTTTGAGGAACTAGGGACAGAGTGTGGCAAAGTCCAAGATTTAATTTATCTTCATCTGTTTCATCAGCTACCTCATCTAATATGCCAATATTTTATTCATAACTCGTGGCAAACCCACTAACTTTCATTATGTTCATCTGCATGCTTCATCTGATAGAAAGTATGACTTTCATTAACTCTGTGAGATAATGAAAACTACTAGGGACAGAGACCATGGCAAAGTTTATGACTTTCATTATTTCCAGAACTTAATGAAAACTACTAGGGACAGAGACCATGGCAAAGTTCATGATTTAATTTATTCTCTCACTAACAACAAACACAAACACCAACACTAACGACAAAAATAAATGTCCTCACTTCTTAACAAAGTAATATGTGCTTCTTACACCACCATAGCTCAAACGTTTCTTTTCAAACATCGATTGAAACTTATTTTGAGCCATTGGCTTTAGTCTCTTTTTCTTCAAATACGCCAAGAAATCTTCTTCACATCTTTTCACTTCATAGCCTTCTTTAAACTCCTCCTTGTTAAGTTCTATGAAATCCTTTATCGCATTCTTTGTTGCAATGGCTTCTTCACGAACGACATCGTGAACTATTTCATCATTGCATTCATGTATGACCTCCTCACTGTTCTCGTGAACTATTTCATCATTGCATTCATGTATGACCTCCTCACTGTTCTCGTGAACTATTTCATCATTGCATTCATGTATGACCTCCTCACTGTTCTCGTGAACTATTTCATCATTGCATTCATGTATGACCTCCTCACTGTTCTCGTGAACTATTTCATCATTGCATTCATGTATGACCTCCTCACTGTCTTTCATAAGCGTTTCAAAATCTCCTTTACTCATTACTTCAATCTCATGCTGTTCACAGTAGTACTTAAACTCACTGTATATGTCTTTGTTGTATGTTATATTCCTTCCCATGTACTCCATGAATTTTTCAAGCACTTCCTCATAATTCACTGTTTCTTTCTTTCCACGACCTTCTAATATCATACTTGCTTCGTAAATATAACTTCTTGCAGAACCGTCTCGCTTTCTACTTCTCTTCACAAATTCTCTCATCTTGCCACCAAATACATTTGAACTACATGCAAAGAATTCATTCTCCTTCGCAAATTCTTTATATCTTCTGTAGCACTCTGTACAATTCCATCCGGATACAAACTTTTCATAGAACTCCTCGTAAAACATTTGGTAAGGTGTTTTGTTCATTTCGATGAGTTCTTGTTTAGCCCTGGTGAATGGTATCTTCCTTACATCAAATTCACTTAAATCTTTCTTCATGAAGTACGTCAGTAAGTTTGAATAAAACTCTTCATTAAAGCTTTCAATGAGATTTGAGAAATATTCGTAATTTCCTTTGTATCTGCTGCTTACGTCAATGACAACAAATCTTCTGTCGTCTTTGTCAATCTTTACTGAGTTGAAGTTGTTAGATATCATGATGATATTACAAACATTCTCTATCTTTCTTACTGGCTGACACTTCTGATTTAAATCCAACTGAGTCTCTGTTACTATTGACTTTAGTGCGTCGTGGTTCATGACCTTAGACGTATCGCATGAGCTTAGTTCATTGCATACGATGAGCTTCATGTTCTCAATAGCAGCATTGAATCTACCAACCACATTCTCTATTGCCGTTATATTATTGTTGGCGTACTTGCTAATGAGCTCGCATAGAACATTACTAAGTACATTCTTACCAGTTCCTTGCTTTCCTGTTAACAAAAGTACTGTTCCAGTCTTTCCACAAGGATTTTGAACGATGTAGGCGAACCAGTTCAAAACATACTCATAAAGCTCTTCATCCTCATTACATATGACATCGTGAACATGTTTCAAATATCCTTCAATAATGCTTTCATCTACTTCATTCAGTACCTCATACTCATATCCTCTGAAATAGCTGTAAATGTCATCTCTTTCGTCAAAGAATCTCATGCCTGACTTCATAAGATAGTTCTTGTTCTGACCCGCTTCATAAATCATCAGTGCGTTCACATCCTTCTCTTCAATACGTCCTACATAAACACTCTTCATGAGCTTATTGAATTCCTTGCTATCTACTGACACAAGTGTTGTTGTGTCTCGTATTCCATCATAATCTTTCACTAGATATGTCATACGTGCTCCGTCAATAACGACAACACATCTTCTTAAGTCATTTATAACACTAGCTATGTCAATACCGTCCTCACTCATGTACTTATTTCTTCTCAAGTCCTTTAGTGTGAAAGTGTCTCTAAGTTCTATTTCAAGCAATTCATTTACACATCCTTTGCAATACTTCTCTATAAAATATTTCTGTCGTTCTTTACTAAGTTTTTAACAGCTCTGAAGAACCATGTGTTTTGACTCAAACATCCTTCACAACTTCTCTCATTCATTCCTAGTTCTTTCATGTCATTATCTTCAACCTCTATGGTCTCATTGACTAAGGTCAAAGGGTTCTTAGTCATTGCTGGTCTTATCTGAAACAATGTTTGTGCAACAGGTTTAACTAGTTCAGCAACGTCCTTCCTTAATATGAATAGCTGTTTCCACTCATCTTTGCTAACAGTTCTTTCATAACCACTGACAGTAATGATTTCATTTGCTGACCTTAGACGCTTATGTTCTATCATTTGTATTGCTTTTGTGTAAGGCTTTCGTGAGCATAGGTTGTATATGTCATTCCTGCAATGTTCATTCATGCCAATAGTACTAAATCCTTTCTTTGCTGTTGAGTGCATAATATCCATTAGTTCCTGTGTTCGTATTGCTGTCTCATAAAATACAACAAGACCTTTGTCATCTATGACGTACTTACCGAAAACATTGCTTATATTCTTTAACCATGAAATAACATCCTCATTCATGCTGTCAAACATGAAGTAAGGTCTTACATACTCTTCACTTATAAGATACTCCACAAAATACTTGTTAAACTCTATGTCCTCGTGAGCGATTTCATTAGGTTTGATATTAGTTCCTTTTGTCATTGCTGTCATGTACTTCACTCTCATAGTTCCTTTCAATAGCGTAAAAATACTTCATTGTTTCATAACTGCTCTAAATTCTGTTCAAAATTCGTACAACATAACTTTTAACATTAGTGAAAGAACATGAGCGAAACAACAACATCTAACATTACAGAAGAAGTCAATGACAATGCCGATGAAAACATTACAGAAGGAGCTAGTGAAAATATTGACGAGTTCAGTGAGGAAGAAGATATTGAGGACGTCAATGAGAACGTTAGTGGGGAACAAACTCAATGGGAAACATTGAGAAATCATGAAGATTATGAGATTTGTACGACATATCCTTTTACTATTCGTCGAAAGAAAGACAAACATATTATGAGTGAATGCTTAAATAATTATGGTTACATTATGCTTAGTTTAAACAACAAAATACATTTAAAGCATAGAATTATTGCAGAACAGTGGATTGAAAATCCAAACAATTTGAAAGAAATAGACCATATAAATCATGATAGAACGGACAACAGAATCTCAAACCTTCGTTGGTGTTCTAGATCTGAAAACAATAGAAATAAAAGCAAGTATGGCGATATAGTTTATGAGTTCGTTGATGAAATATCTGACGAAGCTGTTGAAATAACAGATTATGGTAAGCATTCGTTTGAGTTCTACTACTATGTTGAGAATGAAGACGCATTCTATTATTATACAGGTCTTAACTATCGAAAACTTCATATAAACTTTACAAAAACAGGTGCTGCTTATGTTTGTATGATAGATACAGAAAACAAGAGTGTAATTTTATTCATAAACAAATTCAAACGCTTGTACGGCTTCATGTAGGACAAACATTATTTTTCAACACT